CAGTCAGAGGACCTCTGTGCTAAAGAGCCTGCAGCCTCCATCAGTGTGAGAGTGTGTTAGAGTGCAGCACGGTGCACACAGTGTCTGTGTGCAAGTCTGAAACCTGCACAGGTGACAACAGGAAACTCAGAGTTACTGAACCTGCTTCCTGAGCAGATGTTACTGTGTGCACAGGTGAGAGCTAACAGCTGTGTTTTAAACAGACTAAAGCACAGGCAGCATGAAGAAGAGGAGCAGAGGGAAGGATGAAGGTCCATCAGGCCCAGGGTGTCCTCAGCTTCCTGTTCAGAGACAAACATGATGTCAGCTCCTCACAGCAGCCCGTCTGATCTTAATGACCTTACAGTACCATAAGTAAAATGTGTTCACAGTAGATCACACACTCACAGATAAAAACCACAAACTGCTCCTCAATAAAAGCAGAAGTATCAATAAAATAATAATATGCAACGATGAATTAATTAAAAGCTTGTCTGTACAGAAATGCCTTCAGCTGCTTTTTAAAGACACTCAGTGGATTCAGCGTAAACACAGCGGAGGAGACGACCTTGGTGCCGCTGCCTGAAAAGCACAATCCACTGGTGTTTTGAACCGAGTACGTGGGACCAACAGTGACCTCTGACCTGAAGGCCTAAGTGCTCAGGATGAAGCGTGAGGTTTAAACAGGTCAGAGATGTACTGGGGAGCTTCACCGTGAAGAGCTCTAAAAGTTCTGACTAAAAGTTTAACATTTACTGGCAACCAATGAAGAGAAGCCAAAACTGGAGTAATGTTTGATCAGCTGTCTGTATAATCTGAAGGCAGTCCAAGGCTGACTCAGGGATCCAGGGCAGAACCAGGGACAGGTCCAAGGAAATCTACATACAAAGAAACAGGCGATTAGAATCAGTAACGACAAAGGCCAAGAGAATACGAGAGTAGAAAAGAGCCGGGGCAACTGACGCAAGTAGTACTGATCCAACGAACACAAACACTGAGCCGATGCTCTAAGTAGTGGCTGGAGGAGTCAGGTTAATGAGCAGCAGGTAGGTTATCACACACAGGTGTGTCAGCGGAGAGAACGGACCTCAATCATGTGTCAC